TGCTACTGCTCTAACTAATGAAAACACCTTTTTGTGGAATTTGAAACTTACCTTCATACCTTTGAATCATTTTATACCTCACCGCAAAGTCTATATGTCTTCAGTCATCGATTATCACACGCTAAATTTATTTCTATCTAGAGCACCTCTGGCTAGTTTTTAAACTCAGTCTGTCCCTAGTGCATTTGAACACACGGCCGCTCTGAGATGAGCGATGTCTCAAGCTTTCGCTGTTGGCGAGGTTTACGCTCCTGGGCCGCCGCCTCCCCGCAGGCCGAAAGCGGCGCGAAGCGAAATGAGAATATATCTCTTCATTTGCATACAGCGGGGAGGCAAGAAACAAAAGCAACATCTTTCTGCCGCTGGACGCGTGCGTAACGCGTGCCAGGAGGGATATCCATATTATTCGCAGGTCTGAAAGTCGAGGGAAGGGAGAGAGATAGCAAAGAGGGAAGAAAGGGGAAAGAAGGGGGGGGGGGAGGGGAGTGGAGGCAGGAAAGACCATCAGTGCTGCGCATTTTTCACTTCCCAAACGCGCTGCTCGCCTGCACGCCACTGTTGCCAACGTTTCGCACACGTCTTACTGCCTCATCTCGCCACGAAGTATGTGCCCGAGTCTTTATTACCTATTTATTTTCTTTCGGACTTTAGTGAACCCACCCGCCCCGTGATAGGAATGACAACCTCTTCCCCCGAGCCTTCTATTTTCCCTTTACCGTTCGCTTCGCGCGCACCCCACCCCTTACTGGCCGTTAAGGCGGAGGGGAATATGGTTTAAGGCGTCGCTAATGACGTAAATAACATCACACCACAACCCCCCCTCCCCATACCCTCACCCCGGCCCTCCCCCCCCAGCAGCAGGGTAGAAGGAAATAAGGCAGACGTGGATTGGTAATAGCTCCGGTAATCCGTGGCCGGAGCTCCCGTGGTTCGGGGTGGAGATCTGACGGTGGTGGAGAGAGAAATGCTGGATACCTGTTGTTGTTGTTCGGGGGGAAGAAAGGGACAGAAAGGGGTGAAGAGGCTCTTTTTTTTTTAGCGGGGGCCGCCGCCCAATGCCCGAGGCGACAGGACAGGAAACAATAAGCAAACAGGGCTGACGAGTGAAAGCAGGCAAATAATGCCAGGGCGCGCGAGCGAAAACAGGATCCTGCTGGCCAGGCAGCGGCCGCAGGCTCTTAAAGGGCTCCTGCTAGGCGCCTGGTGGGCTCCCGCTAGGCGCCTGGTGGTGGGCTCCTGCTAGGCTCCTGGTGGTGGGCTCCTAGCTAGGCGCCTGGTGGGCTCCTGCTAGGCGCCTGGTTGGCTCCCTGGTGGGCTCCTAGGCGCCTGGTGGGCTCCCTGGTGGGCTCCTGCTATGCGCCTGGTGGGCTCCTGCTAAGGCTCGTGCTTGGCTTCTGCTGGGCTTCTGCATGGCCTCTGGCTACGCTCCTGCTGGACTGGGTTCGTGCTGGGCTCGTGCTGGTTTTTGCTGGGCTCCTGCTGAGCTCCTGCTGACTCCTGCTGAGCTCCTGCTAGGCGCCTCCTGCTTCTGCTTCGCCTTCTCCTTCTATTGCTGCTGCCATTTTGCTTCCACCAATCGCCTGCCCATGATAAGGTCAAGCAATTACTCTGTACTGTGTGAAAAGAGGAAAGAGGGGTGGCTGGACGGGACGGGTCGACCAGGCGAAGGCCTTTTAATATAGGAGGGTAAAAAAGAGTATGGAAAAAAATGAGGATGGAAAAAAAATATATAAAAAAGATCTTTGTCGGTTGAGCAAACGAAGGGAGGCGGGCGTGTGCTCTTGATGCTGCTGCTGCTGGTGATGAAAAATGTAATCGAATATTTTTTTTAAAGCGTGTCGCGTCGGCGTGTGCGCGCGTGGTGGTGGCGCGCCCCGCGCCCCGCGCCCCCTCCCTGCTGGGGTCCGCGGCCTCGGCCCGCCGCCGGCGACACGGCCCCGCCCGACGGAGAGATTCTTACGTTAGGAGTCGTCTTTATAACATGGCGTGGCGGCGCGTGGCGGCGCGGCGGGCCGTCGGCATTTTGTGATTATGAGGCGCGGCGAGAGCCCGGCTCGGCTCGGCCCGCGGCTCCACTCGGTCGAGTTTTACTGCGCACGAGAAGGGCCGCGCCCCTCGGGCGAGGGGGCGCCACTGTCGCGTTTTCAGAAAGCAAAAGACTTTTGAAAGGGGGAAAATGCGAAAAAAAAAGAAAGATATCAACCATAATAATAAAAAACACACAAGTAACACAACAACAACATAAATGAAAAGAGGGTTCGCGCATTTGTGCCGGCATGAGGGCTTGATGAATAAAACATGGGCTCATGTGCGATAACTGTTTTATAGCTTCATCAACTTGACGTGGACGTTTTCATGCCATTCTGTCGTCCGAAAGTTTTAATCTCATCCTGCTGCCCCCCACTCCCTTTCCCTACACTCATCTCCGTGCCTCCGCCCTCGCCTGCCAGCTCAGTATGAGGGTTAAAAAGTCGGAGCACATAGTTAAAGACCTATATGAGCATAAGGAGCGTGATTTTCGTTGTTCCGGTCGAATTTTAATCATTTCCCACCAAACTACTCCCTTGTCCGACCTCCCATGCTCCACGCGCTCCCCGCAGACCCCCGCCTCCCTCCCTCCCCTATACACTTCCGCCCCCGCCCTTCCTTTACTTTGGATTTGGGCCGATTTGAATGGAACACGGGCCGCATTCGTGACGTTCCAATCTTCCCATACCTTTCTCCTTCCTTGTGCGCGACCGCCTGAGTCCTCCCTCCTCCCTCCCCCCTCCCCCTTACCCTTCTCGCTCCTCGCCAGACCACACGCCCCGCGCTCGCGGCGGGCAATGGAGGGCGGAGGGGTCGGGTCGCGCCCTTAAGGACGACACGCGAAAAACCAACCGGGCGTAATATACGTATTCCGCGTATTCCGAGTCCCAGCATATGCCAGAAGTCGCATACCTGTATCCCGTTTTGGTAGGGGGCGCTTTGTCCACGAGCAGGGTTTGGGTTTTACTAAACCCCCTAGCTCTGTCCACTCCGACATGACATGGTTACACTTGAAAAACTTATGTGGCATGTGTCACATCACAAGTAGTGTGACATCCTTGGATGTCACATGATGTGTGGTGTAACCCAGGGGTCTCAGAGAGCAGACGACTTAAATTGTGGGGACCAAAACTCAGGCCACATTGCATAGGGCGACTGCGACCATAAACTGTCACATATCAATTGCCTCGACACAAGTCACTTTGTGTAAGGACACACACGCTCGGCGCGGTTGGTTCGCGACCACGACTTCGAATCCCTGTGGGGCAGCGCGGTGCGGCCAGGGCCAAGAACAAACGAAAGGGCCGCCAGGGCCACCGGGCGCGGTGGATGAAAAACTTATCGTGATAACGAGACCGCTTATGGCCAGGTCGTTCTGTTGCGGGCGCGACTGCGATCTGTTCGAGGAATGTGCCATCCTCGTCGTATCAATGCGTCCCTCACACCACCCCTTTCTTTTCTCTCTCTCTCGCTCTCTCACTTACTCCCGCCGCTCGCGCCGAGATAAAGAGCAGGGCGACCTCGCGCGCAAAACTTTGGAGAAACTCGCAAAACAGATGGGCGTTTTATGGCGAGGAGGACCGCGAGTCTGCGAGGAAGACGACCTCGGCTGGCCACGGCCTCGGCTTGGCGGCGGCAGGGGCGGTGTGCGGTCAAGAATAGAAGGGATGGAAGTGACACGAGAGAGCCTCGTCATTGTCGCCTACTCGCGCGCTTCCAGTCGCAGGAAGTGGTAGGCTGACCGAGATGACACGAAGTTACACGCTACCGGGCGGGGACCGGAAAGATACTGCCATTCCGTTTGTTTAGTTTTAATGAAATCATGATTCTCATTGATTTCCGTTGATTTCCGTCGTGATTCTCATTGATTCCCGGTGATTTCTGGGCCGGTGTGTACACATGATTCCCGAAGTTATTGCTCCCTCGACCAAACCACTTCCGTTGTAGATGTGAGGCGAGGCGGCGCGGGCCAACTAACCAAAACAGCGTACCCACTTCACTTCCTCAGTCCGATTCAACCTTTAACCATCCAGTTCGATCTCTGGGTGCAATGCGCAGTTTTTACATTAAATATCAACACTTTTCTCTCTCTGTGGACGAAAATGGGACTTCCGACAGTTTGTCATGCCCCGCCAGCGAGTTCTGTGGAACTGGACACAATATGTGTACATCTAGAAAAATATTCAGAAACAATCATGACACAATCACACACAATCCAACACAATCACACCAAATCCGAAACAATCACGGCAGAACCACTCACAATCAAGTCACAATCTTATTCAATTTCCCATAGTACGTCGCAATATTTATCCTACAATCTGAAACAATGAGAGATAATCATACATAATCATACACAATCTTAAACAATCACACAAATTGATCCATTCACACACAATCAGAAACATTCACACAAAATCGGAAACAGCCACACAAAATCGGACACAACCACACAGAATACGACACACCCATGACACAATTTTTTCAAGATATGTCCCAATTTGTCCCAATGTGTTCCCAAACAAACTGAAACAATCACAGTCAATATCATCGACACAATCATACACATTACACGCGCAATCTGAAACAACAATTGTCTAGACACAATGATGTATACACTTTTTTGGCCAGTTCCGCACCCCTCGCCCACCAGCCTCTGTAGTTCATCGCCTTATCGGGCACCCTCCTCATTGTTGTTAACTATAAATCGTGCTGCAGTCGCGTCGATGTATTCGTCGAATAGGACATCGACTTGTTGAAAACCGCATAGTTTCGACGCACGACGTTGAAGTAACGGGCGTTTTTGATTAATTTGTCATTTTATGGCTGGGAGGTGTCACGTCACACACGGCAATGTGCTCCAGCCAGCTCGCCTGCAGCGGGTAGCAGCTAGACGGCTCCTCTCCTCCACCCCACGCGCCAACACGCCGGCACTGCTCCGCTCCGGCTCTGCGCTGCGCTGGCTCAGTGTGCCGCCGGCCGCTGTGGAGAGCAGACGTGCGCCGCTGGTGCTGCCGCTGGCTCGTGAACCGGACCGTCGCGCGAACGAGTCCTAGCTCGTCGAGCCACGCCGCCACGGCCGGTGGGTGACAGAACCGCAGAGCGTGTGTGTGTGTGTGCGAGTGCAACTCTTTCTGCGTTTCGACGACAGACATGGATTTCTAGTGACATCGGCTGCTTCATTCTCGCAGACGACAAAGTGACAGTGTGTGTGACTCTGATGGGGCTCGCCGCCGCCGGTCGACTCTAGAGCTGGTGAGCTTCTCGCTTCCTTGGTTATGGCACCGTCTGTTGTTTTGACTCGACACAACAACGACAGACGTAAAAGAAGAATCGCAGCTGTTTGCACTGCTTATGTGATTGTGCAGCCGTGTGTGTGTGTGTGTGTGTGGCACACACCTGATACGAGGTTGGCAGCATTGTCGCTGGCACGCTGAATGCTGGGTTGGCACACGATTCCATCGCGATGCATCGATGCGGCAGATAGCTGCAGCAGCGCAGTGTGTCTGTGTGTTTTGGCCCAGCCCGGCCCGGCCCCGCCCTCAAAGCTTGTCGCTGTTGTGATTGCGGCTGGCACTTTGAATAGCGTGATGAAAAGGACAAAAGTCTGCTCTCTGTCTCTGCATCCCTCTGCCGTCTCTGTCGCTCGTTCGCTCGCAGTGTCTGCGCTCGTGCTCTTCATCATTATTATCACTCTAAAATTGCATCTCATTTTCATTATTCCCCCGGAGCCGAGCGGCGGCCGGTCCGCAAATTAACCACTTGTGCTGGTGAAAAGGCCCGGCCTGGCCTGGCTGCGCGCGCGCGGGCTCCAAACACGAGCAAAAGTTTGGCGTGGAGAGGAGGAGAGCTGGTGCGGAGCGGAGCTCCGCACTCTGTTGTTCTTGCTGTTGTTATTGTTGTTGTTTGGTGGTGTCTTTTGTTATTGCTCCCGCCATTCAGTAGTAGCAATCGTTGGAAAACAAGGTAGCGAGCGCGCGTTGGTGCGCAGTTGTCGAACCGGAGAGCGAGCGGGAGAGCGAGTGTGTTTCCCTACCCCCCCTCCCCCACCCACCCAATGGCAAAAACATATTAACGTGTACGAGGATGTGATCACCCCATTTGATAAATCGCTGTGTAGGTGCCGGAGGGCCCCGCCCCGCCACTCCCTGACCCCTCGCCATCACCTGCTAGCGGCGCAGGGCGGCTTTGTTGACCACGCTGCCACGCCGCCTGTCGGGCAGGAGCCTCTAGGCCTCTCGGCCGCACGCTAGGCCCGTGGCGTGACGCACTGCGTGCTGGGCCCGGGAGCAAGCTCTACGAACCTCGCATTTTCTTCCTTGTGTCCGTTGCTTGTCGGGCGTGAGGGTCGCTGCGGGGCTGGGGTGGGGGGAGCACTTCTGTGGGGATCCAATAACTAACTTGTCCGAAGAGGCTGGGCCCTCCTCTCCCCCACCCCCGTCCCCCGTCTCTTGGTGCTTCCTTGACTTCCAGTCAATGAGAGTCCATCCTCGTGTCCCCCCTACAACAAACTGCGCACGAGTCGTATATGATACGGGGG